ATTCAGAGCCAGTATCTCTCCTTCCCCTTCACTCTCCCCACCCCCTGCTCCCTTCCTTCTATTGATCTTTTTGCCATTTACACAGTTATTTTTTAAAAATTAATTTCTTGTGGATGTACATGATGGTGAGATTCATTTGGCATATTCACATATATACATAGGAAAGTTATGTCAGATTCATTCCACTGTCTTTCCTTTTCTCATCCTCTCCCCCTTCCCTTCATTCCCCTTTATCTACTCCACTGAACTTCTATTTTTTGCCCCATCCCCCTTATTGTGGATAAGCATTCACATATTAGCAAAAATGCTCGACCTTTGGTTTTTTGGGGACTGGCTTATTTCATTTAGCATAATAGTCACCAGATCCATCGATTTACTGGCAAATGTCATAAAGTCATTCTTTATGACTAACACTTCATTCAAACATGATTTTTAACCTTAGCAATATAGCATGATTTTTTTTCCTTATTGAATGTTATTATGTCTGATGTTTTTTAAAAAAATATTTAATTGGTATATTATAATTATGCATAATAGTGGGATTTGTTTTCATGTGTTTGTACATGCACATAACATTGATTGGTCTATTTCATTTTCCTGCTCCTCTCTGTACCTTCCCCTCTTCTCTCCCTTATCTCCTTTTCTCTACTTTCCTCCATTTTGATGAGGCCCCTTTTTCTTTCTCTCTAGCTTCTGCATATGACAGAAAAAAATTTGATCCTTGACTTTCTGAGCCTGGTTTAATTTCACTTAGCATGATTTTCTCTGGTATTTGTTATAGTGAAGGAAACCTGACTAATATATCTCCTATATATCCAAACATCACCTAAAGTTCTCCATCCTGAGGTGCTGGTGAGAATCTGGAGCCAGTGTAGTAGCTTATGTCACGTCTCCTGTTCCACCCATTTTCCTGCAAAGGACATAATTTTGTTCTTCAAAGATGAACACTTTGAATCCTTTTCTCCTAATGCTGTCTTAGAAAATGTCTTAAATGGGGTCAGGTGCTTGCTTGCATGGCAGCAGAACTCTGTGGATTTCTAACAGAAAAAGCTTATAGGAACTTCCATCTTCTAGAGAAAATTTAGATCGGCTTCTTTCTCCCAGCATCAGGTTAGGCAAGAAGTGATAGAGCATGTTCTGGCTCTGGGCTTCCTTTGATCAGCCCCAGGCAGAGATATTTAATTAGGAAACTAAGAAGTACTTACGTGGGGGCAGTGATTAACACTTACCTGGTAGAATGTCAGCCTGTCAGAAGAAGGTTAAAGTGTCCACCTGTCTCTACAGCTGTGGTGACAGTCAAGCAGCCTGTTTCTGGTATTGCTGGCATTCCTTTAGGTTGTAAGGACATAGGCCTTGTAGAAATCAATTCACTTGAAAGTCCATAGATATCCCACAGCAAGAAAAGGATGTCCCAGATCTTCCTGCACAGGGATGGTGTAGGACACGCAGGCAGCCACATGGACTGGTCATCATGCCTCTTACCACATGGCTACAGATTCACATCAGTGTCTTAGAGAAGTTTGGCTGATGGCTGGATATTGGAGGTGTGTTAGTCAGCTTTCCATTGCCATGAAGAATGCCAGAGATAATCACCTTATAAAGAGAAAAGGTCTATTTGGGCTCACGGATGTGGAGGTTTCAGTCCATGCTTGGTTGGTCTCATGGCTTTTAGGCCTGTGGTGAGACAGCACTTCACAGTGAGAGCACATGGCAGAGCAAGACTACTTAGGAAACAGGAAACAAAAGAGAAGAAAGATAAGGGGTCCCATATCCCCCCCAAGGGCACGCTGCGAAAGCCCCAAGACCTCCCTTTAGGCCCCCCATTTTAAAAGTTTCTGTCACCTTCCATTGTGTGAAAGGCTTGGTGCTGTGGCTGGAGACCACGCCTTCAACATGTGGGTCTTGGGAGACACTTTGGTTCCAAGCCGCAGTAGCACGCACATACATTTTCTGTAGTTTTCAGTCCATGGTGTGGGCTTCACCATTTTCACACACACGTTTTGGCCTTTTACATAAAATCCAGAGACTAAACACTCCTCCAGATATTTTTGTAGATAAATACTTTATCAAGTGGGGTTCCTGTTGGCAACAAATGGCATGCTCACACCTGGATAATTAGAGGAGAATTTCCTAAAGGGAGCAAATACAAAGATTCGGGCATTAGGGAGTCCTCTGGGGCTTGTACAGCTTAGGGGGACAAGGGAGGGAGCAGAAATGGAAACTTGGAGGGAGGGGGTGTTGTGTAGAAGATGCTCTGAAAAGGCCTCGAGTTTTGGTCAAGGAACACAGCTTCTGCCAGCAAGCTGACGTCTGCAGAAATGATGTCCTGGACTCACTTTCCTTCCTCCCTCTTGCTGGGATTTCCCATAGGCCACACCCAGGGAGGCCAGAGGGCCAGCCAGGGAACAGATTGATGCAGGGTACACAAGTCAGCCTCCTGGGAACAGAGAAGGATGGGGATGGGGGGAGGGCATGTAACAGGGCCCCAAGGAGGCATCTGGCAGAGTTGCCTGGGTTGGTGCTACAACTCTTTCAGGGAGAATTGTGCAAAGAGGACAAAGACAGGCATGCTTCCTGTATTTTCAGTGAGGAGCTTGAATCTGAGTCCCTCTGTAGATCTCTGGCCCTGGAGAGCTGCCCAGGCCCCCTTGGAGCCACAGACCTCTCTTGGAGACTCTGCCTTGGCGGGTTTCCACACCCTAGTCTTGGCCCTTGACATCTGATAAAGAGGAGACAAAGAAGGGCAAAGAAGCCTCTCATTAGGAGTGTGTCTTTTTTTTTTTTTTTTTCCCCTGAAGCTTGGAGAGCTGGCCTAAGCTGCCATAGTCCTTCTTTTCCTGGGGCAGGGTTCTCTTCCAGGTGAGAGGCAGCCCCAGGCACATTTCTGAGGGCAGGAGTCAAGTTCACCAGTGTGAAGCCCACGAGGAAGACCACTCATCACAGAGAGTTAAGAAGAAGACTGAATTGTTATATAAATTCTAAAAGTAGTACATGATCATGGCAAAATTTTCAAAATTAAAAATACAGACTAGTATAAACAAAAAGATTTGCACACCATCATTACAGTCCCTGGGGCCTACTCTTATTCCCTAAAGTTAAATGTTATACTGGGTTCTTGTTTGTTCTTCTATAATTTTATATGCAGTTAAACAACAACAACAACAACAACAACAACAAATATATATATTGGCAGGGGCACTCTAACACTGAGCCAGATCCCCGTCTCTTTTTACTTATTTATTTATTTTTTTGAGATCAGGTCTCACTAAGTTGCTCGGGGGCCTTGAACTTGTGATCCTCCTGTCTCAGCCTCCTGAGTTGCTTAGATTACAGGTGTTCTGTGTCTGGCATGGTTAAACAATTGTTTAATCACAGATGGGCTTCTTGGGAGATAAGAAACATTGAGGATGAATTAGAGAAGTGGGCAGTGGCCAGACTACAGTGAACATTGAGGGCTACTGTGCCTGGTTAGGAGATTCATCTTGATGTCAGGCACACCTCACTGCTTGGCCTGAGACCCCTGACCTGGGGCCTCGTTTACTGCAGTCTCAAGTTCCTGTCATCATATCTAGAAGCCACAGGCCATGTCTTCAGTGCACCTACAAGGTACTGTGTTAGTGCTAGAAAGTCAGAATTGTATGAGATGCAAGGTCAGATCTCTTGTCTTGTATTTGAAATTGTATGCAAAAGTTCACTTTTTCTGCCTCTCCTCACATTGGTCTGGGCCTGCCTCCTACCATGCCACGCCTATTCTGACACTATTACCTGTCAGTTCAGCTAGTACTCTTGAGTGGGTCACCTGTAAGTTCAAAGGTTAGCAACAGTCCTTCTCTGCTAACATTGGGTTTGGATCAGAAGATGTGTCTTCCATGAGGCAGCATTGGGTTTGGATCAGAAGATGTGTCTTCCATGCCAAACCTCAATCCTCAATAGTCATTGTTACCTTAAGCAAGTGAGTTGATTTCTCTACTTCCTTATTTTTAAATTTTAAATTATTTGTAGTACTGGAATTGAACCCAGAGGTTTGCCACTGAGCTCTATCCCCAATCCCCTTTCAAATGTTTATTTTGAGACAACGCCTCACTAAGTTGCCCAGGTTGGCCTTGAATTTGCAATCCTCCTGCCTCACTCCCCCAAATTGCTGGGATTATAGGTGTGTGCCTGTACACCTGGACTTCTTAGCTTTTAGTTGGGCATAGCAGCCATTACCAAAAAGCATCATTGTGAATTTGGGACAGATGATACACAGCCAAAGCAGAGTGCAGGGCAGCGGTGTGATTCGCGAAAGTTGCTGTGGTGCTCTTGCTATTCCACACATGGGCCTCAGGATGACTACTTCTGACCTCTTCCCTTTTTATGTCCTCAAATCAGCATGCTGCCTATCACCTGATGGTTGTACCTCTTATTTCATGTGCAGCTGGGAACTGAAGTTCATATACTTACCGTATACCATTTAGAACTATATGTGAAGCCAATGGCCAAACAATGGAACCAGGCTAGGTGTCTCTCAATGGATGAATGGACAACGAAAATGTGGTATATATACACAATGGCATTTTATCCAGCCATAAAAATAACAAAATTATGTCATTTGCAGGAAAATGGATGGAATTTGAGAATATTATGTTAAGCAAAATAAGTCAAACTCAGAAGGTCAAGTGTTCTGATTTCTTTCATATGTGAAAGCTAGAGAGGAAAAAGAAGAAAGGTGGTATGGTGATGGTGGGGAATCTCAGGAAAATTGAATGGAGATCTGTGGAGTGAAGGAAAGGGACCAAGGGTGGGGGGTGGCTGAAGGGAGGGAAAGGAGAAATACTGGGGAATGATATTGGCCAAATTATATTGTTAATATTGTGTGTGTATGAATGCGTAACAACAAATTCCACCATTTTGTACAATTATAATATCCAATAAAAATATGGAAAAATATCGCAGTCTGGCTGGGCACAAAATAACCGAGGCGCCACAAAGCCTTGTAGTTTCAAACAGCAACTCTTTATTCCCAAACTCTCACCGGCACTCTACACACACTTCCCGGGAACTCTCCCGAACGCCATGCGGCTCCTCTCGGAACCACCAACCCGGAAATCCCTCCTCCGGCACTTCCCCAACCAATGGGAACTCTCCGGGAATCCCCGTGAGAACTCCAAAGTAGCAGGCCGAGGCGGACAGCAGGGGTCTAATATACACAGCTTAACATAACCATTATCATCTCAGTGGCTTGTTGGCATCACCTCTCAACCACTCCGTTCTGGCAAAAATGCCATGCGTCATCCCGACTCGGCTGTGGCCCTCAACAGAAAAACAACCCTATATATGAAGCTGGATGTGGTGGTGCATGCATATAATCCCAGCTACTTGGGAAGCTGAGACAGGAAGATGACAAATTCCAGGCCAGCCTGGGCAACTTAGAGAGAGCCTGTCAGGGGCAGGGCGTGGGGTGGGGAAGGTCCATAAAGAAAAGGAAAGCTGTGTGTACGTGAAGAAGATGACTGCAGTCTGCCATGATCTATCCAGATCCACACATCCTGGAAACAGACAAGTCAGAGCGCAAGCCCACTTGTGTTTGACCTCCAGTCTGATCCTTTCTAGGCCTCATCTACCTCAGTTTCCAAGTCCTCAGTTTTTACCTTTGCAGAGGAAAATGTGTTCTTCTGTCTTTGAAGCCCCTTCCCTGGCTCAGATCCAGTATTTGTCCTGGGCCTGTGATCCCCTGTCCTCTGCCTTCCTTCTCCCTCTTCCCCTCATGCTTCCCCATGTGCATGGGCCTGCCTTCTCTTGAAGCTTTGGGCACCTTGCTGCACTTCTAGGGTAAAGTCACAGTCCTCCTCCTCATTGCCAAGTTTCTGGGAAGCAGCAGAAACTGACTTCCTGATTCTTTTGCTTATCTTCTCCCCCTCTCCTGCAGTCTGGAGTCATCCCTTCCTTCTCCTGAGAGAGGCTTCTTTTGCAGATCACGTGTTGTTTACCAGGAAGCCTCTCCGGATCACTGGGGCCTGAGGCTCATCCTAGCCTTTCCAGAACTTTCCATGCTTGGCTTCCATGATGCTGTTGCAACTAGGGTGCGTGAAGCAAGTTCATGGTGCACTGGCTCCCTAATGCAGAGAGGCAGAACACACCTGTAGACAACAGGCTGTGTAAAATGGGTTTATTCGTTAGAGATACGTAAAAGGGACATAGAAACCTAGGATTTGTTGCAGCCTGCCCCTACCTGCTCCACTTGCACCACAGCTGTGGGACTTGAGGAAGGAACCCATCCTGGGTTTCATACACTGGGTCGATGTGAGTTGCTGGGCTGAAGTAAGAGAGGGCATCCTGTTTCTGGAGGGAGATTGGAGCCGAGCTCAGGCTGCTCTGGATGGCAATTCTGTATCTCCTGGTGTTGCCTTCTCAGCACATCCTCAAAATTACTCTTGACAACTGTCAGTGAGAAAGGGGAGAGACCTGGGTTGGTGCAAGGTCACTTGGAGAACTGTTTGGCAGGGTTCTTTATTTATTTTTCCAAATCAAGTATATGTTGCAAAAACCTTCCAGAATGTGTCTCTCAAGTTGCACCTTGCCAGATATCTGCCCTGGTGAACTCTTAAATCCAGCATTTCCTAAATGAGCCATTCAAGGACAATCCTTCAGAGCAATAAGCAACACACTGTGCAAGTGAGGTTTTGAACTCATAGCCCAGGGTTCACAAAAAACCTGCAAATAACCCAAGTCCTACAAACACCCCTCCACTGAATTTTCTGGCACCTTGATCTTGAATTTTCCAGCCTTCAGAACTGTGAGGAAGAAATTTATGTTGATAAGTCACTAGTTTACGGCATTTTATTACAGCAGCATGAATGGACTAAGACAACTTTAAAATAAAAGTTACTGACTTTGGGGGAAGGCATGGTTTTAAAAAACCCACCCCAATATCTTTCTCTGTGTATACATTCCCTAGAGAATGGCGTTCTAGGTCACTATTTTTCCATTTCAACATGGTGCTAGAATTTGGTGACCAGTTAATTTTTTTTAATATATAATATTGAAAAGGCTGTCCAAATTATTGCCATTCAAGGACAATCCTTCAGAGAAATAAGCAATACACAGGATTTAGGCTACATTTGGTACCTACTTCATGCCTTTTTTGGTGGTAGACTATTAAGAATAAACCATAATATAATTTACAAAAAAAAATTTGCTTTGTAGACCAATAAGCTGATAAGCTGCATGTTTTGGAGTCTGACTGCAGATTCTCTGCATTGCTCAAATGGAGAGACTTGGACTACAATGCTGAGTTTGTCTTTCCCTCCAGCTGATAACATATGTGGGGGTGGCCAGAAGGCCTGCAAAAGAGGCATCTGCTAGCTGGGTTTCTTTTCTTTTGAAAATGAAAAGAAGAAAAGCCCTTGTTAGGCTGGAGCCCTAAGTATTGAATGTCAGTAAATAAGGGCAGTAGGGTTAGCTGTCTGGACAATAAACAATTTAAGATCATGTCAGAATGTAACTGCATTGGGGAAAGGCCAAGCAAGCAAGCAATAGGAATAATGGGATTGTTGTTGCTTTTAGGTAGCTTATGGCATCCTGTATATTTTTAATTATAGTAAAGTAAAAAGTAAAAAAAAGAAACAAAGAAAGAAAGAAAGGACTTTATATGTTCTCTCACATACAAAAAGCACATACAGAAGAATAAGAAACAAACATTTAATATAGCATGTGCAAAGGTCCTGAGGTAAGGTAACATTGTATGAAGAAGCAAAATTGAGACTGGAATCTGGACCCGAGAAAAGAGAGACAGGTAGGCCAAACCGTGGCAGCTGGCAGTACCTCATAGGCAATTATAAGAAGTTTTGTTTTGTTTTTTTCTTGGAGCACTGGAAAGACTTTGAAGGCATATTAAGCAGTATTTGTGTGTGTTTGTGTGTGTGTGTATCTAAAACAATCTGTTGGAAAGATGTCTCTGGCTTCAGAATGAGGAATAACTTGGCCAAGGTGGGGAAGATGAGAGAGGACACATGAACACCATTTAGAGGCTACTGGAAAATTCCAGCCAGAGATGATGCTGGAGGCATCAGGATCAGGGAGGAAGAGGATGTAGTGTTAAGTTATTTGTTTATTTATTTATTTTCCATATATTTTATTGGTGCATTATGTTCACAGTGGTGGAATTTGTTGTTATGTATTCGTACATGCACACAATATATCCATACGATTTGGCCAGTGTCACGCCCCAGTATTTCTTAGTGTAAGTTATTTAATCTGTTTCTTGCTGCTAGATACTTTGTTTCTATTTGTTTTGTCTCACTCCTCCCTTATTTTCTGCTATGACCAGCAGACTGCAGTGAGCATTCTTGGGCATGTATCTTGATGCTCTTCAGTCAGAGTAACTGTAGGCTAAGTTTCTGGCTTTGTAACACCTGAGTGCTCCACAAATTCAAGAAATGTTGGTAGCTATTGCCCAAACACCACTCCAAAATGTTGAATCGACGTTGCTTCGTCTTGAGGAGAGTACCAAGTTCTGTCACCCTTGCTAGCCACTCTGCCAATCTGAAGGATAAAAAATGGACCTTGCTTTGAGTTACCATTTCAGTAGAAAAACTTTTTTTTTTTACATATCAGTTGTGTAACACCTTATAGAATTGTCTTATTTAAAAATAAATTAATTTTTCTAGTTAGAGCTCACCACAAAATTTACCCTTTAAAAGTATAAAATTCAGTGTACCTTATTTGATTTATTTATTCTTAATTAATCAGTTAATTAATTAAATTTGGTACTGGGGATTGAACCTGAGCATGCTCTATCACAGAGCTACACCTCCAGCCTTTTTCATTTTGAGGCAGGGGATTGTCTTAGGTTGGCCTTGAACTTGTGATCCTCCTACTTCAGGCTCTGTAGTCTCTAGGATGACATGTGTGCACCCCTGCTCCCAGCTGTCAAGTTTTTAACTGAGTTGTCAATTTATTATTGAACTTGAGATTTTTATGTACTCTATATAAAAGTCCTTTGTCAGATATATGATTTAAAAATATTCTCTCCCACTCTGTAGACTGACTTTTCACTTTTTTGGTAATGTCCCTTGTAGCACAAAATTTATAAGTTTTGATAAAGTTAAATTTACCTTTTTTTTCTTTTATTGCGTGTGCTTTGGGTATCATGTTTAAGAAGCCATTATCCAATCAAAGGTCATGAAGATTTATGTCTATGTTTTCTTCTATGAATTTTATAGTTTCAGTTCTTAAATTTGAGTCTTTGATCCAGGATGAGTTAATTCTTGATTACATTGTAAGGTAAGATACAACTTGATTTTTTTGCATGTAGATAATCAATTGTTTCAGAAACATTTTTTTTAAAAAAAGACTGTTCTTTCCCTATTAAATTATCTTGATACCCTTGGTGAAAATCAATTGATATCAAAATGTGAGAGTTTTTTTATGGACTTTTGATTTTATCCATTGATCTCTATGTGTCTCTTTACACCAGTATCATACTATTGTTTTGTAGTAAGTCTTGAAATCAGGGCATATGAATCCTCTGATTTTGTTTTTCTTTTTAAAAGTTGTTCTATTTCAAGTTCCTTGCATTTTCTTATGAATTTTAGGATCTGCTTATTAGTTTCTACAACAAACAAACAAAACCCAAAAAAACAAAACCAATCAAGATTTTGATAGTTCATTGAATCTGTAGATCAATCTGGGAAGTACTTACTGCCTGCCATCTTAACAATGTTGTCATCAATCCATGAATATGAGATGTCTTCATTTATTTGGGTCTTTTAAATTTTTTTCCAATGATGTTTTGTAGTTTTCAGTACAAATGTCACACTTCTTTGTTTGAGTATACTTCTAAGTGTCTTATTTCTCTTATTGTTTCGACTACTTTTTTTTTCAGTTGAAATTTTATGCTTTCAAGTTATATATTCATGTCATCAGCATATAAAAAAATCTGTCCAGCATTTATAATTCTTCTTTCTCTGGTCTAGCATATTAGGAAGTTTTTCCAGAATAATGTTAAAGGAACATTGCTTACATATATTGTGTCATTACTCTTTTTGACAAACACACACACATTTTCTCCTACTATGTAAATTAAAGGAGGGCTGGGGATATAGCTCAGTTGGTAGAGTGCCTGCCTTCACAAGCACAAGGCCCTGGGCGCCCAGCACGACAAAAATAAATAAACAATGAATGAATAAATAAAGAGGACATACTGTTGCTCTTATTTGGCATCTATTTCTTTAAGAAACCACCCACTACTCATTTCAGGTGGTTTGTATGCTAATAGTCCTTGAACTCCTAGAGTAGTTAATGACACCTAGCTAGTGGTACTTAATTCTCTCTACTCAGGAGAGAGAATGTGTGTGTGCACCAATTAGAATCCACCTTGAAATTACCACTAAGACTGAAAGCAGAGGTTATCTTTATTCTTCTTTAGTACTTTTAGGTTTTAAGCATGAATCAAACATCTCTCAGTCATCTTTCTTAGCTATAAGGAGAAGGGCCATCTGCAGTCAGGAAGAATGAGGCCAACAGGAAAGAGAAGCAGAGATAAATCTTGGCAAGCCCGTCGGTACTGACCTGTTTAAATTTTGATTTCCAGCCAGGTCTAAAGCAAAGATACACTTGGATTTTTCAGATATGTGAGCCAATAAATTCTTTTTTTTTTCCCTTTAAGATGGTTGAGTTATATTTCTTGAAATCAAAAGTTCTGAGCAGTCTAGGAAATCTACTACTTTCTGCTCAGTTAAGGGCTAATTTTGTTTGTTTTAAAAATTAAGTATGTATATTGGAATTTGTAAAGTACCTATTGGGATATTCTTATGCATTCTTTCCTTTGATTTGCTAATATGTCATATTAATAGATTTCTTAATATTGAATTAATTTTTATTCTAGGAAGAATCCCACTTAGTTATTTTTATTTTTTAAAATGTACTACTAAAATTCATATGCTGGTTTTTAGAAAAAGAGGGTTTTTTTTTGGCAGGGTAGGGATGGAAGTGAGTACTGAGGATTTAACCTGGAAGTGTTATACCACTGATCTACATTTTTAGCCTTTTTATTTTTTATTTTGAGACAAGAGTTTCACTACATTGCGGAGATTGGCTTTGAACTTGAGATCCTCCTGCCTCAGTCTTCCGAGTCACTGGGATTACAGGTGTGTACCATCATGTCAGGCTTAAAAAAAGATTTTGGGTCAATATTGAAGGTATAATTCCTCAGTGGAGAGGGTCAGAAACAATTGGATTGGGGGCCACATTCAGTTGTATTTTGAGGGTCTTATTGACATTTTACAGTTGGAGTATTAAATATAAACTTCCAGGTTTGCAACTTTTTTTGAAAAATTTAGTTTCAGTGAACCTAACTATCCAAGTGGAGAAGTAGTGATTTCTCTGGAACTATCTCTGGTTTGTATTGCCACTAGCACTTGCCACTCACAAATGTACACTCATGTACTTTTTTTGTTGTTGTTTTGGTGTTGGGGTTTGAACCCAGGGTCATTTAACCACTGAACCACATCCCCAGACAGGGTCTCACTGAGTTACTTAGGGTCTTGATAAGTTGCTGAGGCTGGCTTTGAACTTGTGATCCTCCTGCCTCAGCCTCCTGAGCCGCTGGGATTACAGGCATGTACCAGCACACTGACACTCATGTACTTTTAATTGACCAGTGTCATATGTTTTAGTCACTGGTCTGTGATACCCTCTGAACTTGTAATTGTTCTAAGTGTCCTTTTCCAATTCTGGTCTTTTCAGATATTCATTACTGAAATAGTTTAAGTGGCATCAAATGGACATGTTTTTGAAAGGTTGGAAGATGCACCTGTGGAAACACTGGGTCTTGGTGTTCATGAGAAGCCCCTCTTTTTCTGTTTTCAGAATTTGTTTCCTTTCTGAACTTGTCTGGGCCTGTGGCCTTCCCTGAATAGCTGTGTTCTTAGAACAGCTTCCCAGGTCTTTGCCCTCCCGTGACCTAGCGCTGCAGTGTGGGGAGGGGAAAGTGAGTTTGAGGGCAGCCTTGCCTGAGGTCTGGGTCTAACGCTAATCTGCAATGTTGTTTGTTGGATCATTTCAGGCTTCCTCCACAAGTAGGAGGGTGTGTATCTTTTTCCTGGGAGTGTGGGAGACCCTTCTTTGACCTTCCTCTAGCACAGCTCTGAGTCCTAGAGGCTGTTGTTACAGCTCTGAGACCTCTTTCCCCATTCCAGTGACTGCCCAGTCCCTGGGGTGGTCAGTTGGAGTTGGCAAGGGTTTTTGTTTTTGTTTTTTGCACATTTTCCCCGGGCTACACAATCACTGCTTGCATCAACTTCACTCCAAATTGGAGAATATTAGTGAGAATTCCCAAGTTTTTCCCCATCTACCGATTTCTTCTCCCTCCTATTCATCTAGCTTGGAAGTCAGAGGAGCAGGGCGGGAGTATGGGGGTTATGGCTCATGGTTCCAGCATGTCACCATTTTTGGAAGTTAGTGGTTTCTGAGGTTGAGGAAGTCTAAGTTTGTGGAAGTCAGTGTGGGCAGCACATTATCACAAATGACTTTTATGGTAAGGATTCTCCCCGGGTATATCTAAGAACCAGAGAAAGTACATTGACTAGTGTGGTGATTGACAGCAATGACTTTTAGCTCTCCTAGAATAACCTGAAACAATTCACTTAGATTAAAATTCAGATCTCTAGATAGAATACTTCACTAAAAAAAGATTCAATTGTATAAACGTACGCCTACTTGAGAAAGACCCATGAGTCGGTCAGGGTGAAACAGATGAGGCCATTTCGGGTGATTTTGTGGCCACTGTGGCTAGAAAGTACACTTCGGGAAGCACCTTTTCAGGAAGCAGTACAAAGCAGGAGCTGCAATGGGGTGAACCGTGGTCGATGTCTATTGCTTTTGTCTGCTCAGTGCCTTTCCTTGTCTCATGGTAACAGAACTTGACCGTCTGGCCGAAAGGATGAGCACATGTGCCAAGCCAGGGAAATTGCAGCCCTCCTCTGGGATGTTTTCGAATGGGAACCCAGGGAGAGAAGCCTGCTTTTCTCATCGTCAGAGTGCTGGCGGTGGGACGTAGTGAAAGTAAAGCTGAAGGAAATTAAACCAACGTGAGGCGCCATGAGAGAAAGAGACGGCTGAGGATTCCAGTGATTTCTGAAGTTGGTTCTATTCCTGCCTTTCTCAATCACTTGGCCATTGAGTGGATGAATTCTGCTCTTTACTAAGCTTATTTACATCGGGTTAGGGGCATCTTTGGCCCTCTTGACTGTTGAAGATATGAAGATATCCTCAGGGGGCACATCTTTTACTGTTATAGTTGGGATCTAAGGTGTCCCCCAAAAGCTTCTTTGTTGTTGCAGGGGTGTTTGGAGGTGAAATGAGTGAATGAGGAGAGCTGTAACCTCGTCAGTCCATCATAGCTTGAACAGACTGACTGGGTGGGAACTGTAGGTGGGTGGGTGTGGCTGGGTGGTAACTGAGGTGGGTGTCTGGGGGCTGCCCTGGAAGGGTGCATTTTCCCTGTGGGCAAACTCCCCGGGCCTTGGCTTCTTTGTCACTGTGAGGTGAGCTGCTTTTCTCTGCTATGCTCTTTGTCCATGCGCTGCCTCACCTTGACCAGAGCGACGGACTCAGTTATCTATGGACGGAGACTTCTGAAACCATGAACCAAATAAACTTTCCCCCGTCTAAGTTGTTCTGCTCAGGTATTTTGGTCACAGTGACACAAAGCTAACATAATTACCTTGGTCCCACACCTAAGGACATTGCTTTTTGTCATGGAAGATTTTAGAAAAGATTCTCTAAATTAGAAAGTCAGTGTGACTCCTCTTGCTTTAGGTGAGCTTGGATTTCATTTTTATTTTTATTTTTTTTTTACAAATACAGCTATTAAAATAGATGCTTGAGAGAAGAAATGATTCATTCAACTCTCCCCTCAAAGAGGAGGCTGGTCCTCAAAGTGTGCCATGTGACTGTAGCGCCAGGGTGCTGGAAGTAGAAAGAGCCATAAAGGAACTCACCTGCTTCTCGAATCCATCATGAACACCCACAGGGGTCATTCCTGGTCCTCATCATTGACCAGTGGGCCTTCAAGTTCACTCATCCTTGATTGCCCTGCCTGCCCTTCTTGGCTTTGTGTGTTTTTAGTCCATATTTCCCGAGATCTGAAGCCCTGAGGACAGAAACAGCCCATTTGTTGATATGATCACCAGCACCACCAAGAAGCCTGTGACTGGGGTGGGACGTGGGGATGCGGCATCTGTTCCTGACAAATATCCTTCAGTTAGTGGCAAAAGGTTTCTCCCATAGCCTGTCCTTTCCAACTGCGGCTTCCTGGCATAAGGACCTACGGCTACTGAAAGGGAAACAGTCATGTTTCTTGTGAACTTTCTGGCCACAGTGGCCACAAAATCATTCAAAATGGCCTCATCTGTTTCACCCTGACTGACTCATGGGTCCTTTCTCAAGTAGGCGTACGTTTACACAATTGAATCTTTTTTTAGTGAAGTATTCTATCTAGAGGTCTGAATTTCAATCTAAGCGAATTGTTTCAGGTTATTCTAGGAGAACTAAAAGTAGTTCTAAAAGTAGGAGAGTCCAATTTGAGGAAGGTGAAGTGTCATGCCGCACTTTATTGTTTATATGGATTCCTACCTTATCTCATTTAAAAAAAATATTTATTATTAACAGTAGTTATGTTGCTTTTATATTTCTCTTAGGCTTAAAGACCTAAATAACAGCCAGGAACGGCGGCACACGCCTGTAATCCCAGTAGCTTGGGAGGCTGAGGCAGGAGGATCACGAGTTCAAAGCCAGCCTTAGCAGCTCAGTGAGACTCTGTCTCTAAATAAAATACAAAATAGGACTGGGGATGTGGCTCAGTGGTGGAGTGCCCCTGAGTTCAATCCCCAGTACCAATCAATCAATCACAACAGCAACAAAACCTAAATAACTTACCTGAAGTCACATTCTAGGAAATGGCAGAGGAGAGATTCACACTCAGGTGGTCTGATTCGTAACCGGTGCTTTTTGTACTCTCCCAGTGGTTCTGTCTCCTGGAGAAGCTTTCAAACAATACAATGTAGGGTTCTACCACAGAATAAAGCCAGACTTCCCAGGAGGTAGGCCAAGCACTGACAGTCTTCTCCATTCCCCAGATGGCTGCAAGGACCATTGCAGTAGGCCATGCTACTCCCCATCAATGTCATTTTCAGCTTTTCAGAGTTGTTTATACCTGCTGTTGAATCCTTAGCACATCCTGCTGGTCTTACCTTCAAAATGTGCCAAAAATACCACTGTTGACAGCTTCCACTGTTACCATCCTGTTTGCATGTTCTGGAAGACTATTCAGTTGCTGTCGCGACCCCTTGCCCGCAAGGAAGACGCAACTCGGGAATCTTCTTTCAACAGTTTATTCAGGCCCTGGATATTTCTTCTTCTCTCTCTCGGATGCCCCTCCCAGCCTTAATAAAGCATCCCAAGCCCCAATGCAAAGCTGCCGCGTGGAGCTTTCTCACAGGGTGGTGAAAAATCATGTGCCAACTTTCCCAGATAAGAAGTTGTTTGTCACAGACCACAGTGAAGCCAGCGTCATCTTGTAATGGCGACCATAGTCTGCAGAAACGGCAGAAGCGGCTCACCACAAGTTGCCTCCTTTCTGGTCTTCCTGCTTCTCCCCTCACTCTCAGTCCATTATTGAAATAGCTGTCAGATGTCTCTTATATGTTAGATCATGATCTCCAAAACTGACAGCTCCCATCTCCTCAGAATAAAACTCTGAAGTCCTTTCCAGGATCTGCAATATCCTCCCTGGTCTGACTTCCCTATCTCTCTGCTCTCAGGTCCCATCATTTTCCCCTCTTACTTTCCCTGCAGCCAAACTGCATTCTTAGCACTGAACACACCATCAACCTACCACCTCAGGGCCTTTGCACATGCTATTCCCTCTGCTTGGTACAATCTTCCCCCAGGTATCCTCACACCTCATTCATTGAGTCCAATGTCCCCTGACCTAAGAGGCCGTCCTTCCACAATGGCAGCCTTTCTGTGTGCTATTGGTATCTCAGTCTCCATCTCCTCACTTTCTCAACTCACGACACCTAACACCTTCCAATGTACTTTTGTTTCATTTCATTTTTTTTTTTTGGCCTGTCTTTCCTTGCTAGAAAGCCAGCTCCATGAGAGCAAGGAATTGGTTTTATTCATTGTTCTGTCCCTAGCACTTGAAGTGCTGCTTGTTCAATGATTATTTGTAGAACACATGAATAAATATCATGTAACTTTTTTCCTAAATCAAAAAAATTAGAGAAAATAAGGCTCCAGGTGTGGTGGTGCATGCCTGTAATTCCAGCAACTCAGGAGACTGAGATAGGAGGATCACAAGTTCAAGGCCAGCCTGGGCAACTTAGTGAGACCCTGTCTCAAATAAAATAAATAAATAAATAAATAAATATAAAAAGGGCTGGGATTAAGGTCAGTGGTTGAGTGCCCCTGGGTTCCATCCCTAGTACCAAAATAAATAAATAAATAAGAAAGGAAAATAAGACTAAGAAAAAAATAAATTAAAACTATGGGCAAAGTTAATACTCAGAATAGATTTCATTTCTCTTATTTGTTTTACTTGAGGATTTGAATGAAATTTTGGTCTTTGGCTTTTAGTAACCAATGTGAAAAGGAAAACAGTATTAATTGTAGAACTTAGTATCCATCATAAAAACTGAGGTCTGCTATACAACTGAAATATAGCTATTCTTAATATTAAAATACATAATCAGTTTAATTATTAGAGGATAAAATAAATAAATAAAAATGAATTTCATATAAAGTTCTTTGATTCGTGAAGACTGTGAAGTCATGACTGTTTGATGGAAATGCTTTATTTGCTTTTAACAGTATTTAAATATTTGCATTGAATCTTCATCTAGCTGCTAAATAAAATGACTTCTTTAAAATTCCCCTAATATCCAGGCCTTTGTCTAATTGATGCACAAGCCCTTCTGAGCATCAGAGAGGGTGCTTTATGTTATTTCCAGAGGATCTTTTTTCCTCCCTAGAGGAAACAGAGAAAACTGCCCTGGTTTCCCTGGGACAGAGGATTTACAGAGATGTGGGTCTTTCTGTGCTAAACAAAAAGGCCCAGGCATACAGGGACAAGTTGGTCATCCTATCCTTTTTTTTTTTTTTTTTAAAAATCTTTTTGTGTCTAGTTTGATGCCTTTGTTCTCTTGTGAATGATTCATAGAAATGAAGAATGGACTAGTTTTAGCCTTTGTGATTGGTGGTATGTAACTGGCCCAGGGGGCAGGGTTTTTTTTTTTTTTTTGTATTGGGGAAGCAATCCAGGGATGCTCTTCTACTGAGTCATATCCCCAGCACCACCTCATTTTTTTTTTTTTTTTTTTTTTTGAGACAAGGTCTCACCAGGCTGGCCTTGAACTTGAGGTCCTCCTGTCTCAACTTCTCTAGTAGCTGGGATTATATGAATGTACCACCACACCCAGCTCCTTTTTATATATTGACAGATTGTTTTCCAGAAAGATTCAACCAGTTTATGCTCTTACTTTTGTGTGTGTGTGTGTGTGTGTGTGTGTGTGTGTTGCTGGGAATTGAACCCAGGGCCTTGTACATGTGAGGCAAGCATTCTACCTACTGAGCTATATCTCCAGTCTATGCTCTTACTCTTAACGAGAGATAAATTCTTTTTATCATTTTTTGACTCAACTGTCTAATTCTTTCCAATTATATATTATCCTAAGAAAAAAGATTTGCCAATTTGATAGGTTAAAAAATATCTTGATGTGTATTTCTTTGATTAGTGGTGGGTTGATTTTTTTTAAACTTTTTTTAATTATTATTATTTTGGTGTTATTACAATGAGGTACGTGAGGCAGATAACTTATCAGGAGAAAAGGTTTCTTCACCTCACAATGTAAGGGTCCCGTGAAACGTCAGAGAAAGAGACCACCAAGTGACCACTCATGCAATTGGCAGAAGGGGGGATTTATTGAACCAGCATGCTGGGGCTCCTTGCCCACTCAAGAAGGGAAAGCAGCCCAGAGCCCCGAGCAGGGGCTGAGGATTGCTTAAGTACACTTTTTGGGGAGGGCGGAGGGCTTTGTATACATCAGAACAAATCATCATTAGGCGCGGGAAAATTGAACAACAACTCCTAAACATGATTGGTTCATTCATTGGCGGGAACAGGTCAGGCTGGAGTGATAGGTCATTCCTAAGGAGGGGGTTACATTTAAACTGATTGGTCCAGGCCCTGCAATGCCTGCGTGCAACCACACAGACCCCTTCAGTTATTAAACAACCAGACAATCAGGGGAAATGTTTACTGGGGGGTTCTAAGCATTGTCTTAACAGCTAACTCAGACCTTGCAGCTTAGAAACTTTTACAACACCCGATCTTTTACCCTTTAACTTTTACGCTTTAACTTCAATTTCTTTTACCCTTACAACAGTTTGAAGATTCAAAGTCCAGGTTGGGATGTTACTGAATCCAAGTCCATCTGCTCACTGCTTGAAACCAATACTTTGTAGTTGAGAGTTGGTGGGAAGAAACTCAGGTTTATTTGGGGTTGGCACCAGGAGAAGATGAAGCTATCCCCCAAAATGACCATTTTAGGGAACTCAAATATGTGAAAGGGCTTTTATAGTGAGAGAAAAGAGGGGCAGTGACCAATGGGCAGGAAGATTGCATGCTGGGCAGGGCACGAACCTCTGTTTTTCTCTGCCAGGACTGGTCACAATTGCCCTTGACCTCCTGGGGCTAGTTTCTACAATTCTTTAGAAAAACTGTATTACTTTTCTGCAAGTTAAACTTCACAGCAACTTATGTGCTTTGTGTTAGTAGATGCACAGGACTAAAGAATAAACAGGGGCGGTACACATTCTGCTGTTATCTGAAGGTCACCAGATGTTCTGTGTTCTATAAGTCTAAAGAAAGAATGCTTAGCAGTTGACATCTAAATCGCTTAGGTGTGGCTCTTCTTGAGAATTTATAGTCCCAGGCAAAGGGAGGGTAATTAAAATCACTCTGCCAAGGACAACTGGCCCAGGGGGCAGCCATGTCATTAGGTCAGGGAAGACCCTGTTGGTTGGCTTATAGTGAGGGAGACATTGTGATGGGAGCAGGGTAGGAATGAACTGGAGCAGAGAGAAAGAGGATGGGTATGCACAGGGAATATGGAGGATCCCAGGAGAATATGTCATGTTCCTAATGACATAAGGATCTGCACTACGCTTCACCTCCCAAAGGCTCCACCTCTTCCCAACAGTGCCACCTTGCAGACCAAATCCCAATGGACCCTTAGGAGACACCCAACCCACACCCGAACCATGGCATATATTTATTATTATTTTGTGAATAAGTCTTTTATTTTTGCCTATTGATTTTCACTAAATAGACTATTGATTTTCTTATTTATATCTTTATTATGATAGTTATTATTATGAATATTAATTATCTATCATTTATTGTAGTTTTATCATTAAATTTAGAATTTTTTTTTTTTTTTGGTTTTATACCAGAACTGTTTTAAGATAAAAGTGATTTTTTTGGTGGTTTTTATTTTCATCACACTTATTCTTAGAAAGTTCTTTGTCTTAGATTTATTAAATATTTAGTTATTTTTATTATTTTGTGATTTTATTTTTTAATGTTTGAAATATTGTTTTTCTGATTTTAGAAAAAATTTAAAGACAGAAAAGTGCAGAACCCACTGAACAATTGCCCATGTCTCTGCTGCTGAAATTTAATAGATGTTATTATCCTGTCATATTTAAAAAATATAATTGAAGTTCCCTTTATGCTCTTTCTTAGCACTATTTTTCTCTCTTTCTCCTTAGAACAAATCCTATGATAAAATTGTGGATGCCATTCAGGCTCTTGCTTTTATACTTTTATTTCATTTTACATTCCTAAAAACAACATATATTATTTTGTATTTTTCTTAAAAATAAAGAAATCCTACCATATTTTATATATTTTTTGATTTTCCTTTTTTAAAAAACTCAAATCATGTTTTTGAGACTTACCCTCTGGATACCTATATCTAATTTATTTAATTGCTGGATGAGAGTCCAACGGACGACTCTGTCCAATTTTTCTGCGTTCCCCTATGAACACCTGGTGCTGCCTGGTCCCCTGACCTTCAGCCTCTCCTCCTCCATCTTGCCCTACACACTCATCTCTCAGATGTTCCTGCATGTCATTTTCCTGGGTGTAGTCTCTCAGCTGGAGACTAGTAAGCAGGAGATTTGTTGGGGAATACTCTTGGGATCTGTACTGGTAGAGGAGGCAGGAAGGAAGCATATGGGCAAAGGGGGAAATTGAGCCATAAAACAACCTCAGGGAACCCCAGTATGCCCTACAGTGTCCTCTAACACTGGGATGCCCCTTCAGAGTTATCCTGCACCTCTGTGTCTAACAGTCATTGCATGAGGGCTGTCCTAATAGGGTGAAGCCTCTGACACAGAGGCTTTCTTCAGCTGAGCCTCTTTTCAATGAGGCTGGTCATTGGCAGCATGTCTGGCAGAAGAGGTGGGGGCTCAGTCCTTAAGGGGGATCTGAGAAGCACATGCCAGCAGCCACTGAAGTGGTCTTGTGCTTCACTGTCTAGAGACTCAGGTGCTTCCTGCAATTGTTCAGAGGGCTGAGACTTCCAAGGAAAACTGCCAGGGATGGCCCTCTCTTCCTCCACTTTCCACTGGGGATCCAGGTTTGGGAGCGTTTTATGGACCTGCTGCAGATTCCATTCACTTACAACTTAGGAATGCTTTTTATCTCATGCTTACCCTGATGTGGTCCTATCTGTACTCTAGCTTGAAAAAAATATTGTCTGAAGTTATTTACATGTAGATGAATTGATTAAATTGTTCACTCACAAATATTTATTGAGTACCTAGTATACACTCAGGCCAGGGTTTCAGGGGGTCCAGATCCAGCAGACAGATTTTACATTCTAGAATGGAGGCAGAGAGAAACATAACAAACAAGTATAAAATGTTAAGATAAAAAGGGATATGTTAAGTAGGAAAAAAATGAAGTCAGTTTAAGGGACTAGAGAATGGGGACAGAGGAAGCATTATTTTAAACAGAGACTTTGGAAAGCCTTTTTAACTAGGTGACATCTGAGCAAAACCAGAAGGAAACAAAAGGCTGAAAAGTGTGAGAACTAAAGAGTATAGGATTCTAGGCAGAGGGGCATAGCAAGTGTAAAGGTCCTGAGGTTACACAGTTGGAATGTTGGAGTGAGAGAGGGACTTGTAAAAAGAGAGGAGGTTGCAGAGGTATCCAGGGTGAGAAAAGACCATTATAAGGACTTTGTCTTTTAAAAATTTTTTTTTTCTAAAAGTTATACATGATAGAAGAATGCATTTTGATTCATTGTACACAAATTGAGCACAACTTTTCATTTCTCTGGTTGCACACAAAGTAGAGTTGCACCACATGTACCTAGAGTAATGATGTACATCTCATTCCACCATCTTTCCTGCCCCTTCCCTCCCTCCTCTTTGCCCAAAGTTCCTCCATGCCCACCCCTACTATGGGCCAGCATCCACAGGACTTTGTCTTTTAGACTGAGTTGGGTGCCATTATTGAGTTTGAGGAGATAAGTGACATGATCTGACTTAGATTTGAAAGGAGCATTCTTGCTACCAGGAGAAGAATGGAAAGTAGTGGGGGAATGGCAGCAGGGATTGCAGAAGTCTGAAAAGACATGTTTGTGGTCCATCTGGGAGGATGAGTTCATTGTCTACAGAACCCTAGAACTGGGCAAATTCCTCTAGGGGGTGAATACAGATGGTGGAGAGGTCTAGGTCTGAGTCCTGTGGCTCTTCAGTGTGCTGAGGTTGAGAAGAGGGTGAGGATGCGGGAAGTTGGGCCAGTCAGGAAGGAGGAGAACTCTAGAGCCAGTTGCCCAAGAAAACCACATTGAGACAGCATCCCGAGAAGAAGAGCGTGGCCAGCTGGGTCAGATCCTGTGAGTGTTCTCTCTGCCCAGTTGGTTACTGTTGATGTGTTTCCCTTTCACAGCAATGCTACAGTCACTTTGATTGATTTGGGAAGTAGAGAAATTAAACACACCCTCAAATCTACATCTTGACCCAACCATGTGTTAGACACGCCCAAAGTGAGTTGAATTATTTATTTGGAAGAAGGAGGTCACTTTGTGGGACTTTCTTTCATTCTCCAAACCCTTCCAAGGACTCTCTTTCTAGATGTTGATTTCCTATTGCACAGTGGTGCCCGTCTTTCCACCTGGAGCCCAGAAACTGAACGTTCTGGTAGGCAGCCACGTGTGCCCTCTGGCTGTGCTCGTTCATGGTGTGGGACCTCTTAAATAAAATGTCCTTTTCTTAAATATAATTTTCCTTCTTTATTAAAAC